AGGGTGTCCCCAGGGGAGGGGAGGAAAGGAAATGTCCCTGAGACCCTCAGCAGGGTGAGTCCTGGGGAACAGCCAAAGCCCCCCCAGGCACCAGCTGCACCAAGCCCAGGGGAAGGGAGGAGATGGTTGTTGGGAGAGACATCTCAGCAGAGCACAGACTGGAGGGGCTGGGAGGGAGTGGAAAACCCAACCTAGAGAGCACAGGCCTGGCTGCCCCTGAGGAAAAAAGACCTGGAAAAAAAACCCACAGGCTTGTGAACAGCCCCACAGCCCAGAGAGACAGCAAGGGGGTGAGGAGGGGGCAGGGTCAGACCCCCTGCCCAGCCCCCAGCCTGCAGCACAGAACGTGGTCAGTGACCAGGCCCTCATTCCACAGGCCCCAGGCCTGTTCCCAACCTGCCAGAGGAAGGCACTGACATTCCCTGTCTGAATCAGTTGGTTTGGGGGGTTTTTGCCCAGCCCCCGGGTGGCCAAGAGCAGCAGCATCTTTCTGTCCTGCTGCACAAACCAACCCTCCCAACCAGCAGCAACCAGGTGGTCCAGAAGACCCCAGGCTGGAGGGGTGGGAGGTGGAATCTGAGAAATACAGAGGGAGCTGACTGAAAATGACCACTAGCAAAGAAGGTTTTTCAGCCAGAGGGTGGCTGAACAGCAGAACCAGCTCCCCAGGGCAGTGGTCCCAGCACCAAGCCTGCCTGAGCTCATGATGCTCTCAGGCCCACGGGGTGATTCTTGGGGTGCCCTACACAGGGACAGGAGTTGGACTCATGATCCTGATGGGTCCCTTCCCACTCAGCATGTTCAAGGATTCTATGAAATAATCAGTGTCCCCCATCACACTCCCACCTCCAGACAACAATGAGCAACATGAGAAGACACCAGAGCTCTGGGGGATCACAAGACCCCAGGGGATGTTGAGGCTGAATCTGGTCCTGCTATCTTGGACAAGTGTGGTGAGTGCCCAAGCTGAGTGATCTTGTAGCTGATCCTTCTCTGAGACCTTCAAGCTGAAGAGAGGCAAGAGCCCCAGCCAGTCCAGATGGAGCTGAGGAACATTCAGAGACCATCTCTACATCATCTGGGGAGGCTAGGGAAGCTCTGGATTAAAACTAGAAAAATAACTACATGGGATATCTCTCTGGGATAGAGAAATGCACCAGGAATCAGTGCAGAGAGATCTGGAGTTACTGATGTTGCTGCAGGACAGGCAGTGAGGGCAACAGTGGGACCTGGAAACCTCTGCAGGGCTGATGGTGAGTGCAGCAAGGTCAGAATCCTGCCTGCTCCTGCAGCTCACAACCTTCTGTGAGGAGACACGACTGATCTCTGTCCCCTGTGTGCAAAACTGGAGTCAAACCAGAACCCCAGAGTGGGCTGGGTTGGAAGGGATCCTGAAAGGTCCAGACACTGAAGGGTTAAGAGGAAAGGGCCAAAAATGACTCAGAAAGTGTCCCTAGGGATCTGGCAGAGGTGGGTCCCACAGCACTACAATGGTGACTGTACAGAGCTGGCTCCACCACTGACACCCATTTAACCATCAAAACCAGTATGAAAGGCAGAATCCCAGTTTCAGGGACAGGCTAAAAGGCAAGAGCAGAAAAATGTGTCCTTGCTCTTGGGTCTCAGGCTCCCAAGAGACCAGAGGAGCCTGGAACATCCACTGCCACCACCTCAACAGAGGGGACACCAAAACCCAGGGGATGCTGAGAAGGCACAGGTGGTTCTGGAGGGATGTCTGGGTCCCTGAGGCAAAATCCTCAGCCCTGCAGAGGCTGAACAGCCCTGCAACCCCCCTGAGCCACTCAGCCCTGCAACCCCCCAGGGCCACTCAGCCCTGCAGCCCCCCTGAGCCACTCAGCCCTGCAACCCCCCTGAGCCACTCAGCCCTGCAACCCCCCTGGGCCACTCAGCCCTGCAACCCCCCAGGGCCACTCAGCCCTGCAGCCCCCCTGGGCCACTCGGCGAGGAACGAGGCAGCGAGTGGGAACACACAGTGCCCCAAGCACAGGGCACTGCCACCCCGGGGTGCTGCTGGAACCAACACCCAGGTGAAGCAGCCAAGAAGGATGAAGCAGCACTCCTGGGTGCTGCTCAGCCTGCCTGGGGAAGTGCTCACTCCTGCTGGGAGGTGCCCAGCACTGGCTGCACACGCTGCTGGGGTGAGTGACCACGTCCTGCTGAGGGTTTGGCTTGGTTGGGTTTTTCCTTTAAGTTAAACATTTTAATAAAATGCCAAGTTTTCCATTACAAGCTGCTGTGAAACCACCAGTGAGATTCAACCAAAGCTGCATCTCCCACCATAAAGGTTTTTTCTGCTCTTTTGAGAGAGTCTCTGGGGTGTTTTTAAGCAGCCTTAAACCTGGCAGAGCCCTTGCCCACCCAGGCCTGAGCAGCCTGCTGAGACACAGCAGCACAGCTCTGGGGCCAGACCTGCTCCCTGTTTTCCCAGAGCTGCTGGACGTGCTGATGAGGCCTCCCAGCACCTGAAGGCTCCTGGAGAGCCCTCCAGTCCATGTGCCACCCAGGGAACAGTGGCAGGAACAGCAGAGCAAGGAACTGCAAACTCAGGTGTTCTGACACCACAACCAACCACTCTCCCCAGGCAAGGACCAAGACACTTCACAGGGAAAACCTCCAGCTGATGTGAACTGGGCCAAGTGATCTGTGCAGGTCCCTCCCTACCCAAGATGACTCACAGGACCATGGGATGGCTCAGGCTGGCAGGGACCTTTAAAGGCCACCTCCTGCAGGGAGCAGGGGCACCCCCAGCTGGCCCAAGGCTGGAGATCCCTCTCTCATGTCCTTCCCCTGGAGGAACTCCCACCTCAGGGCAGATCTCAAGCACCACCAGAACACCCTGCAGACACCTAGGGCAGGAAGCCCTTGTCTAGGGGTTTGGGGCAGACCCTAACCCAGGCTGCAGGCCAGGGAAGAGCTTCCCAAGGGAGTCTGCAGACCCCAACCCCTTCTGTCTCCCCCAGACTCTGACAGAACTGTGCCCTGCACAGGCCTCTGCAGCCTCTGCAGGAGCCAGAGCAGGATTATAAACGTATAAAAGACATGAATTTACACTCAATGACTGCACACACTGCATGGCTGAGAGGGGACAGGGCCATTTCCTCCTCCATGGCTCTGTCCTCTGGGCCAGTGTCTGCTCAAAACCTCAACAGCTTTTTTCCCAAAGCAGGTAAAATCTCAAGTGTTAAGGACACTACAAACCCCACCTCCATCCAGACCTGCCAACAGAGCTGCTCTCCTGTGGGGCAGGACGTGGCCAAAAAGCTGAGTGGCTGCAGCCACAGAAAGACCCTGGGGAACTGTTGGGTGTAACTGAACTGGAAACCTGGAGAAACACCTAAAAAACGTACACAGACTTCTCTGCCCATGCTGGGGGATCCCATCTTCACTTCCCAAGGAATCTGACTGAACCAAGTACAGTTTGAAGTGGGGTAAGAGGAAACGGCCTCAAGTTGTGCCAGGTTAGATGGGAAGAAACTTCTTCACTGAAAGGGTCATCAAACCCTGTCCCAGGCTGCCCAGGGAGCTGCTTGGATCACCATCCATGGAGGAGTTCCAAAGCCTGGCAGGTGTGGTGCTGAGGGACATGGGTCAGTGGTGGCCTTGGGAGAGGTGGGTTAGGGTTGGACTTGACCTTAAAGGCCTTTTCCAACCAGAAGGATCCTGTGATAATGATCCTGGCAGGGCTGGACTCTGCTGACCTCTTGCTGACCTCGTGGGCAGAGACACCAAATTCTCACAAGGGGTCAGAAAAAGGAGGCTGTGACCTGAGCTGCACAAACGTGGTGGGTTGAACAGCACCACTCTGGGGGCAGCCTGGAGCATTGTGTTCTCATCTTGGCTCCCAAAAGTTCTGCCAGGTCACAGTCTGTGCAGAGGGACCCAGGGAAGGGGGGACCCCTGAGCCCACGGGCCACTTCTCCAGGTGGCAGCTCGGGTGGGAAGGACCAGCAGGGCACAAGGCTGTAAATGACAGGGAGCACCAGCAGGGAGGGAGGCAGGAAGGCAGGACAAAGCCAACAAGCAGCTGGGGCACCCCAGGGGGGCACTGCAAGGAGAGGAGGCCCCAAAGCCCCCCTGGCAGCAGCAGCTGGGCAGGGACCTTGGCCTGGGGGGGCTCAGCAGAACCACCGTCCAGAACAGACTCTGCTACAGGAAAAATCTCTCACCACTTTCTCCATTTCTTCTCTCTCCCACTGAGTTGCTTCTCTCACCATTTCCATCTCCTAGGAGAGACCAAAGTTAGAGCCACTTCCCCCCCTGCTCTCCCCACTCCTGCAGCCTCAGGGAGGTTCCAGAGCCCCATCCTGGCACGTTCCTGACCGGAGGGACCTGCTGGTCCCACAAGAAGCGAGTCCAGTACCCGTGGTGCTGCAGCCTCCCTGCACTGAGGGAGACACCAGAGACCTTCAGGAGCTTTTTCCACTCCACACCTCTCTCCCAGTTGCACTGGAACACCCACCTTCTGGAGGATCTCCAGCTCCTCAGGGCTGAGGTCCCTGTCGATGGACGAGATGCTTTCCAGGCTGTTCTTGCGCCCGATTCCAGCAGCAAAGGGGTTGGCAATGATCCCAGGGGACACCTGCAGGGCGAGCAGGCAGTGAGACACGGGGAGAGGGGCCATAAAAAACCTGCCACATCCTCCCAGAGCACCAGGAGGATCCCAGGAGAGCCAGAACTCCCTCACAGCCTGGAACCTCCTTTCAGCTGCCAGTTCCTCCTGGAGCTGGAGGTCTGAGAAAGAGGAATTGAAATTGGGGATGAGGTGACCTGGGATTGGGTACAATTTTCTAGTGGAGAATAAAAGGGCTTATTTGCTAAGCCTGGAAAAAAGGAAGCTAAGAGGGCAGAGGATGGCAGTGGGTGCCTCCCTGGGGGAAAGGGAGGCTGAGGGACCTGGGGCTGTGACCATGAGCCAGCAATGGGCCCTGGGGGCCAAGAAGGGCCCTGGGCTCCTGGGGGGAGCAAGAAGAGTGTGGGCAGCAGGTCAGGGAGGTTGTGCTGCCCCTCTGCTCTGCCCTGGGGGGGACACCTCTGGAGAGCTGGGCCCAGCTCTGGGCTGCCCAGGGGCTGAAGGCCAAGGAGCTGCTGGAGAGAGTCCAGGGCAGGGCCCCCAAGGTGCTGAGGGGCTGGAGCATCTGCCTGGGAGGAAAGGCTGAGGGAGCTGGGGCTGTTCAGCTGGAGAGGAGGAGCCTGAGGGGGGGTCTCCTCAAGGCTGAGCAGGATCTGCAGGGGGTCAGCAGGGGGGGGGCAGACTCTGCTCAGGGCTGCCCAGGGACAGGCCAAGGGGCCATGGGCACAAGCTGGAGCACAGGAGGGTCAAGCTCCCCAGGAGGAGGAACTTGTTGCCTGGGAGGGTGGCAGAGCCCTGGGCCAGGCTGCCCAGAGAGGCTGTGGAGGCTCCTTCTCTGGAGACACCCCAGCCCCTCTGGAGGCTCCTGTGGGACCTGCTGGGGGTGACCCTGCCCTGGGGGCTGGGAGGGGGGGTCTCCAGGGGTCCCTGACAGCACCACTACCCTGTGACTGTGTGAAGAGAGGGCTGGGATGCCCGTGGTCACTGCACAGCCTGTGTCCTCACCTCCATGGCAGCTGCAGCCCTGGGGTCGAAGCCCTCGCAGACCAGCACCAGCAGCGCGTCCCCCACGGCGCGCAGGATCTGCACGGCTTCCGTGTGTGTCATGCCCAGCAGGCTCTGGTGATTCACCTCCAGGATCCTCATCCCCACCTGCAGCCTCCCATCCCGGGCTGCGGCCCCCGAGGAGCTCACCTGCAGCACGGGGGGACACGGGTGTCACCAGGGGGGCGGCAGGAGAGCGGGGGGAGCAGGGAGGGACAGGAGGGGACGCGGGAGCAGCGGGAGGAGGTTGTGGCCTCGGGTCAGGGAAAGGCCCTGGGAGTTCTTGTAGGAACTGAGGGAAAGGGCAGGAACGTGGCAGTCTGGGGGGGGAAAGGGGTATGGAGGGAATCCTGGAGGAGAGGAGAGGAACCTGGATCTGAAACGGGTCGTCCCGAGGCGAGAAACTGCTCGTTTGGTCAGTGAAGCTGCTGAAAAAGGAAGGCCTCATGTCTCTGCCTCAGGCTCACAGAAAGGGGTCACTTTGGGTTGGGAGACAGAAAATGCAGGTCTGGGGGTGATTTCAGGGGACGAACGTGGTACAAGGACCTTCTCACTGCGTTTGTGGCAGGGACGGGGGGAACACACGACACGTGTCTGTCAGTTCCCACCCCCTCCTTCAGGGAGCTCAGGGTCATTCCTGTTCTCCTTCCCCAGCAAGTCACACAACTGCTGGCCTCGTGTCCCCAGGCTGTGCCCAAGCTGTCCCCAAGCTGTCCCCCGGCTGTGCCCAGGCTGTCCCCAGGCTATCTCCAGGCTGTGCCCAGGCTGTCCCCAGGCTATCTCCAGGCTGTGCCCAGGCTGTCCCCAGGCTATCTCCAGGCTGTGCCCAGGCTGTCCCCAGGCTATCTCCAGGCTGTGCCCAGGCTGTCCCCAGGCTATCTCCAGGCTGTGCCCAGGCTGTCCCCAGGCTATCTCCAGGCTGTGCCCAGGCTGTCCCCAGGCTATCTCCAGGCTGTGCCCAGGCTGTCCCCAGGCTATCTCCAGGCTGTGCCCAGGCTGTCCCCAGGCTATCTCCAGGCTGTGCCCAGGCTGTCCCCAGGCTATCTCCAGGCTGTGCCCAGGCTGTCCCCAGGCTATCTCCAGGCTGTGCCCAGGCTGTCCCCAGGCTATCTCCAGGCTGTGCCCAGGCTGTCCCCAGGCTATCTCCAGGCTGTGCCCAGGCTGTCCCCAGGCTATCTCCAGGCTGTGCCCAGGCTGTCCCCAGGCTATCTCCAGGCTGTGCCCAGGCTGTCCCCAGGCTATCTCCAGGCTGTGCCCAGGCTGTCCCCAGGCTATCTCCAGGCTGTGCCCAGGCTGTCCCCAGGCTATCTCCAGGCTGTGCCCAGGCTGTCCCCAGGCTATCTCCAGGCTGTGCCCAGGCTGTCCCCAGGCTATCTCCAGGCTGTGCCCAGGCTGTCCCCAGGCTATCTCCAGGCTGTGCCCAGGCTGTCCCCAGGCTATCTCCAGGCTGTGCCCAGGCTGTCCCCAGGCTATCTCCAGGCTGTGCCCAGGCTGTCCCCAGGCTATCTCCAGGCTGTGCCCAGGCTGTCCCCAGGCTATCTCCAGGCTGTGCCCAGGCTGTCCCCAGGCTATCTCCAGGCTGTGCCCAGGCTGTCCCCAGGCTATCTCCAGGCTGTGCCCAGGCTGTCCCCAGGCTATCTCCAGGCTGTGCCCAGGCTGTCCCCAGGCTATCTCCAGGCTGTGCCCAGGCTGTCCCCAGGCTATCTCCAGGCTGTGCCCAGGCTGTCCCCAGGCTATCTCCAGGCTGTGCCCAGGCTGTCCCCAGGCTATCTCCAGGCTGTGCCCAGGCTGTCCCCAGGCTATCTCCAGGCTGTGCCCAGGCTGTCCCCAGGCTATCTCCAGGCTGTGCCCAGGCTGTCCCCAGGCTATCTCCAGGCTGTGCCCAGGCTGTCCCCAGGCTATCTCCAGGCTGTGCCCAGGCTGTCCCCAGGCTGTCCCCAAGCTGTCCCCAGGCTGTGCCCAAGCTGTGCCCAGGCTCACCCCAGAAAGCAGCTGTGCAGCACCCTGAGCAGAGGGGTGGCAGGGCAGCCTGAGCCCTGGCACTAAGGCAGGGAGGGACAGGAGGGCTGTTCCTTTTCCTCCCCTTTGGAACGGGGCAAAGTCCCCACAGGACCTGCTGTGGGTACAAAGTGAGAGAAAATAACCCCAAAAAGCCCAAGACCTGCAGGCAGGAGGCTGAGGAGCAGGCAGGCTGGGAAAGTGAGGAGCAAGTGATCAGTGGTGACAGGAGAGAAGAGCAGAAGCCCAGGGTGCAGCTCAGGGGCACCCAAGGGGCACCCAAGGGGCACCATGTTTTCTGCTGGAAAACTGAAGAGCCTGGAACAAAAGGGGATGTGCAGAGAGCCCAGCTGGGCTGCAGGCCCTGCAACATGGACAGGGCTCGTGGGGACACCAGGGCCCAGCAGCAGCTTCAGCCCCAAAGAGAAAGATCCAACATGACCAGGACCATAAATCAAAGGAATTCTGAGGCAGAGCCAGACCAGGGCAGAACAGCCCAAGGGGAGGGGGCTCAATCAGAGCCTGGGGAGCTGGGATGGGAGGGTAGGGAGAGCAGGAGGGGGGTGGGGAG